AGCATATATGACAGAGCTGTTAGGAAATGTCTTTTCCATGAAAATACATTTGTTCTGTATATTTAATGCTAAATGTAAATACTTACTGTGGCAAAGCTATCATCATATAGTTTTTCTAGGGCTTAAAAGCCATTTTACTTTCAATTTTGATTTACCATATGTGATTGGCATTGCATGAGCAAGTGGAAATATTTAACTGTAGCCAAATGGTGTTCATTCAAACAAGATGTAACCCAGTTTATCCATAGACGAGTGTCTTGTGAATTGAAGATTGTGTTCTGCCAACAAAAGAATTTAAACAGGTTAAAAGAATGAATGCTTTGACCAAACATTTAGGATAAATGTATAGGACATTTTTACTTGTTAGAATTACTGCACAATCGTAACTTTGCCTTTCTTCTCAGTATTTTTCTGTGTTCATATTTGAAACTTGATTGCCCACCTGTAGGTAGTTATGAGTAAAACCAAAAAGTAAACCAGGCCTGTAGAGTAAAATTAGTACATTAGCATCTTTGTTCTCTCCTTACAAATATTAACTTCCTGCTACCACAGAGAAATTAAGGAAATCTGAAGTTGGATGACATGTGAGTCAAGGTCATGAGACAGAAGTGGAAGCGGATCTCATAAACTCTTGCTCTTTCCTTCACCGCAAGACTATCTTCATCTTCCAAGTTATCTTGGTAGCGATGCTGTTATCCGATGATAAGAGGATTAAATTAGATCACCTTAAATTTCCTATAGCATGAACATGTGTCGTTCAATCTACAAAAATCTATAGGATAAAAACCTGCAAAACAGTATAAATGTCGATTCCAATGTGGGGCTGTTCACCACTAAAGTATCAGGAGTGTTGAATATATCCACTGTAATGCAGGTCATTGTATGTCACAATTTCTTGCTTACTAGAGCAAAATAGAATTTAAGGGATAATGTAACATGCTTGTGATAAGAAGCTAGAACAGAGCTGCTGGATCTGGTTTTAGACTGAGAAACATTTAAGTATGATTCCTTGATGGAAATTTTGTTGAAAAAAGCCAGCAAAAGCTCAACATTTTAATCTGGTGCTGGACTGTTCCAAAGAGTTGAGGAAGTTCCTGGAGTGGCACTAGTTTTGAGCTTCTTAACTAATATAATTTGGGTGAGGCCCCCAAAACTATATCTTAATATATTTCAGTTAAAATGCATACAGAAATACAGTGTATGTGATACTGTTTTGTTGTTGTAGTTTAGCGTATTTGCTACACTGAAATCTTTCTAAAATGAATAAAAACACCTTCTTCCTAACCTTCCTTTATGCTTGTGTTTCCTGTTTCTTTTTTTCCCACTTCTGTCTTGGTTGTGCTTTTTCTTTCATAAACCTGTACCATGGCTATTTTCTTTGTAACTTTCTCTCCCTTTTTGCAACACTGCATTTAATTGATGGTATTTCTTCTTTTCTCAGTGTTTTATTTGCTCCTTGTTGCCTTATGTTGGTTTGGGGTATTTTTGTTTTCCCATCAAATTTCCTTTTCTTTAGTCTCTGTCCTCTTCTAGTCTCTTATTTGTTCCTTCCAGATAAACAGCTCTATTTCCTTTCTCACCCCAATTTAGTGAAACTGTTGGCTTGAGATCTATCCCAATTTTCTGTGTCTCTAAATTTTGGAATTCAAGCATGTATCTGGGTGCATCTGCTGCATACGTACAACTACTTCAGACACATAGACCTGTATTAGTGGTGAATCACAGTACAAAGTTGCCTGGCAAATAACCTGTGGCTTTACCAGTGACAGGCCTGGTATAATTCCTGGTAGAATTCAGATTGGGAGCTACATGTTGATGACTTTCATAGCTGCATTAAGTTATGAAGACCCACTAATTTCTTAATTCTTTTCATTATAGACTGCTACCTTCATCCTTAGGAGTAGCCTGACGGAAGATTTTTAACAAAATACAAAAAGTTCAGAACTCCTTCACTTTATCTGTGTTAAACCTCAGCTTTTAGAAATTTTGGCTTGTGCTCTCTGGGATCAGCTTACTCACTTGGAATCCTGACGCCTTTGATTTGTGGAAGACCATTCCTTTTCCTAGCATGGGTAGCCCAGAAGCCTGGGTTCCCCTCAGATGTTCTCAGTCCTCCTGCTGTAGCTTCACCATCTCCCATGCTTGTGGGTCTTCTCTGAAGTCTGCAGTGATCAGGGCAGAGTTAGTCTATAGCTGTGTGTACACACAGACCTCTTTTTCCCCTAGTCCATTTTGTCCTGTCTGGTTTGTTTGTACACACAGACCTCTTTTTCTCCTGGTCCTTTCATGTTTATAAAGGAGGACTTGTCTTGTTTCCAGTGATAAAATACAAACAGAATACTTTAAAATGCATAGTCACTAGCTAAGTCAAAGAACTTTGTTGAATTTGAGATATTTTGATGTGAATTGAGCATTAGTGACTTCTTTTCAGGAGGCACATTGCAGCTTCTTGATAGTGATAGAAATGAAAATATAGAATAGCTTGTCATATTTATCAGGAAATGTAAGAGGTCTCTCAGCACAGAGAAGGAGAAAGAAGTAGTACCTGGAAGCCAGCCTGCCATCCGAGGTCCAGCCTGAGGGCATCTATCATTTCAAGAACTGGAAGCTTTTAAGATTGGAAGAAGAAAAGGGATCCAACACTTTCAGTCTCAACTCACAAAACTGTTGGCACTTTTAAGGCACCAGATGTGTTCAACCAAGCAGGGCTCACCTTAAAGGACTTTCCAGCTTACTAAAACCATGTGGTCACCTTGAGTGTAGAAATAAACTTTAAATAAGATTCAGAGATGTCTTCCAAATTAATATTTTAAAACATAAGTCCTCAAGAAAAAGATACCAAGAAATGATTTGGTATTTCTGACTCTGGCAGAAAAGACTCTTGTATCTGCTACGTGCCATGAACTGGGAAAAGCTCTTCCATGTAGTGAGATAGGCAAGAGACTTTTGACCTAGCCTTTGTTTGATACATCAATTAAAGATTGTAAAATATCTCTTGAATTATTTCTTCGCATTCCAAGGAAAGACATGCATCATGAAAGCTCCTTGAAATATTTATATTTCAGGCATATTTATTCAGATTCCAAAGGAAATTTGAACGAGATATAGATTGTAAAAATCCCTATATAAATCTAGACGTTAGTATGTATCTTTCTGATCAAAAATTCATTATATTTATCGTGCTTTTCTTTAAAAGCCCAAAGATGATTGTAAAAATATATGTTTTCCAGTATCAAGGAGGCAGACATTTCTTGACTTGCTATAGGTAAACAGAAAATTTGGAGTAGGTCTATTAGATCAGGAAAGGGCGAGAGAAAAAAATGCCAAGAACTAGAGAGGTTCAAAAAAATACAAAAAACCCTCTCCAAAACCCAGCTTCAAGGGCAGTAGCAGCTGTTACTTTAAGTGCAGAAAAATCCTGAGATTGTGTTCACAGTAGAAATTCTAGGTTAAGACTGATTAAATGGAATTGACAAACTTTTCATTAATTCCAGAGAGTTCTTCCATGAAGACTGAGTAAGGTCAATGCTATTAAATAAATAGAGGGAGAATCTCATATAGGAAATTAAAAATGCGCATAACATTTCAATGTCTTTTTAGGTCTTCTAACTCAGTGTAGTTTTAAGCATGTAAGTTAAACTCAGTGCTGGTATGTTGGTGTATGCCTCAATGTAATAGGTGCTATCAAGAGGATTTTAGAGTAGCATACATAGCTACATTTTTTCCTATTTATGGAGCATTAAACAATATTACTTTGTTTTTTTGGCTGTTCTAAGATGAGGAAGCAGTTGAGTGTGGTAGGTGCATTTTTCTTTTTCAATTTAACTTTTCTTTCTTAAGTTATGTTTTCACTCCATTTAATGATTTCCTTTCCTATTTTTCCTTTGTGCTTCTCAGAGGAAATTGAAGGTACATGTACAAAAGTTTCCCTGCATAGCCCAATAGTTTTATTTAGAGAACATGTGTTTAGAATTAAATTGCATATAGCCCAACGTTTCTAAGAGATGTTATACTTACAATGCTTTTATATTGCCACCAAATACATTGAATCATCTTTTGAAGCAGATAAAAACACCAGAATATTCCTAGTTGCTTCATGTAAAAATCAGTAATTTGAACTATTGTTTTAAACTGCTTTCTCTCTTTTGAACTTCTGGAAGATATGTATAGGAAAGTAGTATCATAAAATAATATTAGCAAGACTTGGGTGGGCTGGGATGGGAAGAGATGGTTTCAACTTAATTACACAGCCACGAGAGGTCTTGCATTTCTAATTACTACTGAAGAATATACTTCTCTGAGATGGTAGAAAGTTCATCTGTGTGGTATCATCTTTACTGTTTTCCCTCTGCGTGTAGCCGGGTACTGTTATGCTTGCAGCATATGTTAAAGTAATAGCAGCTGATCTCTTGAATTTTTTTATTTTTTTTTAAGAACGTTAAGAGGCCTTTGTTTATAAAGGCATTAGAAATTGTAGCTCATATTTTTGATCAAAGGGCCTCTGGCATGTAAAAATATACACTATAGTTATTTTATATCAAATGAGAGGATGTGTTTTTGATCAAAACCCTTTCTGTCTAATCCAGTGAGCCAAAACTTAAAGCTAAAGTCTGATAATGTATAATTTACAAAAAAGCTTGATTTACATCAAATATGTTTTGCTTTCTTTTAAGTGGCATCATACCTTGTATTAACTGATAAAGTGTGAATTCAGTGCTAGAATTCTTTTTAGAATGTTTGCTGTCATCACAGTCTTTGCTTGAAAAGGTAAAAAGATCAGTGTGCATGCTGCAAAATTCCAGAATATCTCCAGCTAAAATATAAAACAATAAACATTGTTTTATGTTTCTAAGAAAATGGCTTATTGAAGGTTTTTAATGCTATGCTTTGTACAGTTGTCATTTTGTAAGCAATTTCTTCTGTATTTTTTGCTGGGCTTCTAACTATTCTGCTTTATTTCTTGGCTCTTATTCTGTATGCTTTTACCCTTCGTCCAGAAGATGCTGAATATGCGGGTCACAACAGTGGATCCTATCTAGGTGAGCAATTGGTTACCAAAGACAATTTCTTCCTTTCTTTCAGCTTCTTTTCCCTGGAACTGCTACTTTGCTTTTGGGGGTAATCTGCATACAAATGTCCTTACTCTGCATGAGAAAAGCATGAATATTAAGTTTTCAAAAATGGCTCATTGGATTTGACATAAAGGATTTATGTATTGTATGCCTTTATCTGGTTATACATAAGCTGCTGAAATACTGGTTTGATTTTTAAATCAAAATTAAAAAAAAAATAAATTTGGGAAAAATACTTTTCGAGTACATTAAGTTAGTAGTGTGCTTAATGAAACAAAAAGGTTATTGTATCGTGAAACATTTGACTAAGTCTTTAACAGACATGCTTTCCAGGTTTTATCCAAGTTTTGCCTACACTTTCTTTCTACGTATCTAACAATATTGGGAGAATTCAGTGAGAGTACAGAGCAAATTTACAGGCACCAGTTCTTTTTCCACATTAGAAAATAAAGCAGGTTGTAACAACTCAATAGCTTAAATTTAGCTTTAAAGCTAGTCCGAGTTCAATGTATCATTGCGCAGAATGGGGAAGAGGAGGGGAAGGAGTCCTTTGGCTTCAGCCTTAAGATTCCAAATTTCAAACAAAAGCCACATTTTAAAAAGGTGAATGTTCCATGATATGTTTCAGCTTTTTAGTTTGTGCCATTTTAAAAGCTATGTAAAATTATTTTAGTTGAAACTGTCCAGAATTCCTGCCAGCTGAAGGCTGGCTGGAGCGAATTTTGTGGCAACCAGCCCTTTTCCCAAGGCTTTCATCCTCCTACTACAAGAGGAATGGGAAGAAACTTGTCAAAGTGCTTTAGTACATCCAAGCCAGTGTGCTCACTGAAACAGTCGAGACCAGTATGGTAAATGAGAGATGGTTTTCATATTGCAGTATACTGCTTTTAAATGCAGTATAGCAGCTACATCAGGAACACAAACTGTATACTGAAAGAACTTTGACCTCTTTTGAAAACCTTATTGTGGAATAATTTCATCACGTTTGTGGAACTAGTGGCCATCTGATCATGCTGAAAATAAACTTCTTACCTTTGTTAGTTAACCAACTAAATTAATGTTCAGTTGTGAGTGTGCTGAGAAACTGGAGTATGCTTGGAAAATGATGCTTTGGATGTGATTCCTTATCAAATCATCTCCTTGAAACAGAAGAGACACTCCCCTCCCTTCTTTTCTTGCTATCTGTAAATACAGAGTGCATGAATTTTTAAGGTGAGACTATCGTGGTTTTGCCATAAAGGTGGCAAAACAGAATCAGAGAATTACAGAATGGTTTGGGTTGGAAGGGACTTTAAAGATCACCTAGCTCCAACCCCCTGCCATGGAGAGGGATACCTTCCACTAGACCAGGTTGCTCAAAGCCCCATCCAACCTGGCCTTGAACACTTCATTTGAACCCACTTTTTCTTGGTGTTGTAGCACTTTCAGTGAAACATTTATAAATATATAAAGGGGGAGTGTCACGAGGATGGAGCCAGGCTCTACTCAGTGGCAAACAATGATAGGACAAGGGGTAATGGGTACGAACTGGAACACAAGAGGTTCCACTTAAACTTGAGAAGAAACTTCTCAGTGAGGGTGATGGAACACTGGAACAGGCTGCCCAGGGAGGTTGTGGAGTCTCCTTCCCTGGAGACATTCAAAACCCACCTGGACACATTCCTGTGTAACATTATCTAGGTGTTCCTGCTCCGGCAGGGGGATTGGACTAGATGATCTTTTGAGGTCCCTTCCAATCTCTAGCATACTGTGTGTATTTTGTTGTGCAGTTACCAAAAAGGCTCAGTTGTCCTGGAAGGAGATGTCTTGAGGAAGAAGCAACTGTTGTCCCATATTCGACCCTCCTGACCCCCCAGAAAATCAGAATGGGGTGTAGTTTACTTAGGCGACTTTCCAAATTTGTTGGAGAACTGATGTACAGTTCAGGCCATGGTTTATGTCCTGAGAGCTTCCAGTTGGGTGCTGCCATCAGTCCAGAGATGGTACCTTCAGCCTTCTCATGCAGGGTCTGTGCTGTTGGAAGCAAGGTGTTGGAGAGGAGAGACAGCAGACAGAACAACAGGAAGAAAAAGACTTGTCTAAGGTTAGGACCAGTTTTGGGGTAAGGACACAAGTATATCGTATATTCACCTTCTTTTGCAATATGGTAACAGGACACAGTGATTTGTAATTCAGACTCTCATTCACTACTTGTTTCACAAACCATGAGGAGCCCAATCCTATTAGACACATTGCTTTTCTCCTAAATTATTTTGCAGTTGTATTTTCCAAAGGAGCAAACTGCTATGGAATAACTTCCTGTGCTAGACAAATGCCGCTGCCTAAAGTGTACGAATTTGAACAAAACTTGTTGACCAGCTGTGGGGAGGACACAAAGCTCTTACCTATGTGCTATGCAAGGTATAAAACCTGGATAGTCTGTAAGGTAAAGGAGTCCTGGGCAAAGACACTTAACAAACCCTCTGTTAGGTACATGGGAGCCAGTACCACTGGTACAAGTATGTATTCCTTCAGTCTCAAAGATACGCCTCTTCCCTGCTTGTTGCTTTTTGGGAGAGTGGTAAAATAAATATATCTGATTTTTGAAAACAGCTTGTTCTGAATGTCCACCTACGTTTTACAGTAGAGTTTTTTGAAGTAAATTCTGAACATCTCAATTCTTCTGAATATGCCTGTTCTTGAAAGATAGTAGACATTTATGGTACCCCTTGATTACTAAGTAACTAAGAATTTCTAGGCAAGTCTCTTCATTATTATAAATTCTTGATCAAGCATACTACACTGAAAACAAAACCTAAAACATTGTCACTGCAGGGCTTACATCACATCAACAAGTTCAGAGTGTTTTAATGACACCTGAATAACTATATGTTGTAACCTGTTGCAAGAGCAAGGTGGCCTGAATTAGCTTAGCTGCTGTTGAAAGAGTTAACATACGGACATTTAGAATGAGGTAAGTTGAAGTATGTTAAATTATTTGTATGCTTAAATTCTAGAAACAGTTTCCAAAGTATACACCGATCATTTCCTAAAACAAAAAGGAACTACTTGCTGATTTTGATAGTATGTAATCAAATCAAATGAACTACAACAATTCTAATATCAATTAATGAATTTTCAGTTCATTTTATTGCCTGTTATCGGTTGTATACTTGTTGGTATTTCAGTCCAGTGATTCAGGATATTCTGTGAACATCTGACCCTTTCTGAAAGGATATGTACTTTGGGCACACATGAAGTGGTCATGAAGAGCAACAGAAGAGGCAGCTTTCAGAAAGAAGAATGTCCATACCATTTGGAGTCAGATCTTTTATGTCCAAGGTTATGCTGCTATTAATTTGAACGCCGCCTTCTAAAGTGACTCAGACAAATTTAATGGTTTTTCAACAAATTCTAATATTTAAGTCACAGTATAGTGTTGTATGTTTCTGCAGTAATTTCCTGAGGAATTGCTGGGGAGAACATTGAGGTTTGTCTTTGCCAAGCTTAAATTCTAGTTACATTACTTGAACCTTTATGAACATACAGTAAATACAGATGAATATAATCTGTTTACTATTCTCAATTTTGTCTTAAAAATCCAGACATAATCTATATTTTTATTAACCCTGTCTAAATGTGCAAGCTGGGAATCAGTCCAGAAGCAGGCAGAGCTCTGCTCTGTGTGCAGTTCCTGTGTAACAATAAAAATACTTGGTATACAAGCCAGTATAAAAAAATCCCAATATTTGGGGGAAGAAAAAAAAAAATCCAGAAATATCTAGTAAAAATACTGTGTTCATACAAACCTAGATAATGACCATGGTACCAAACTTATTTTTGCCAGTAATACGAATACAAAAAGTATTTGTAAATGCATTTACAATTAGCCGGCATTTGTTCATTCTAAATTATCTAAGATTAGACTGCAGTGAAGAATATGCATAATTTAAACACATACTTAAGCACTTGTTTTAATGAATGGAAATGAACAAAAGCACGTGTAAGTACTTTATAGCATTCTGAAGCCTCAGTGGTGAATTTATGAAGCATAGGTGAATTTAAATTATAATGTTTCCTGTTAGTATAATTTCTCTCATTTTGCGAAATTAACTTTATACTTTCATGAATGTATTTGGATTTAAATTCACACAACATAGTTGCAATCTTTTGTTCACTTCTCCTTCAGAATGATATGATTAAATTAGCAGAGCTAATGTAAGTTATATCAGCATCCTTTTTTAAAGTATTTTAAGGAAGTCAGTTCATGCACTGCCTGTTCCCAGTCTGGACATCTGTTGTGAGGTCCAAGTGGATTTCTCTATGTAAATATAAGGGTAGTGTTCTGAAATCATGAAATACGTATTGCTAGTGGTTAAAAGAATAATCACACTTTCCTGCTAGTTTTGGGTTTGGTTTGGGGGTTGGGTTTGGGTTTTTTTTAATTATTTTTCTCAGAGATGTAAGTAGTTTTTCTTGGGTTGTTGTTGGACCTTAATCAAGTTTATTAGTAGTGGCTTTTGATTTTTCATTTCATGTTGAGGTTTGGAGACGTCAGTAGTTTGAGAACATTTGTTCTTCATATTTTGTTATTTCTTATTTCACCAAATCTGTTACATTCCACTGTTAGTTTATGGGTTTGCATGTTCAGTGAGCTTCTAGTCATGTTGCTGAAAACAGTGAGCTGGTGCAAGCTTCTCAATGTTCAAAATTTTATGTTGCTTTAGTGACAGAATTTTCCCCTTTTATTTTATAGTCTGCATACTTGGCAACTAAGGTTAATCTCTGCTGATATCTATATTCCACATACAGTGTAGCCTGCAGCTCCTTTCATATTCAACAAGGTTTATATTATAAAATGTTCTGGGCAAGCAATGCTTTTTTTCCCTTTGTTCTTTATAGGAATTTACTTTTAAGCTTAATCATGTTATATGACTTTATTTTCCTATTGCATATCAGTATTGGTTTTGGTTTTCCTTAGTGACTTT